TTTCCTCTTGGCTAGCAACACTTTAATCTGATTTACTCATTTTACCTTGTCATAAGCAGTTCTTGATTAAGGTAATTCAACAAACTTGGCTCCCATGGCATTTGTGCAAAAAACGATCTTTCTATTGTATGAAGCCACTATCTTTTGAATGTGATTAACCATGACCCGCAACCAAAGACTTTAGCTTGTTTCAAATGCCTCCGACAATATTTTGAGTTTTCATATGCCAGTGATTTAAGTTGGCTCGCATACCTTGGCATTGATTCTTACAATATGAAATTGCTCTTTCCTTGACTCATCTTTATAATTTACCTATCCACAGTTTAATTATTTTAAATGCCTCTCTATTTTTGTATCATTTTTATCAACAGATTATTTTAACTCCACTAATTTCTTTTAGGCTGAGCGTCGTTTATTCCGACCTGGAGGCCCTCAGCCATCTAAACAAAGCAATCAGTCCATCAGCCATAGATCCAAGATTGATTCTGGTGAGCGTTTCCTGTCTGGAGATTCTGATGATGATGGGTCGTATGCATCTGATGACCCTGATGAAGAAGTTGAGGAAGAACAGTCTGGAGATGTGACGAAGGAGACAGAAGAAGATGATGTTGACTCGGAGCTTGGGCTTCTAATTGACGAGACCGGTAATGAGTTAGCCTCCTCACATGAATCATATTCTGACACTGCCAAAGGGAATAAAATTACAAAAGTTGAGGATACTAAAGGTCTGGAGGATGATAGTAAGCGTGATTGTTGGAAGACAAACGAAAATGACGTGGAAAATGATGAGGGTAAAGCACAGATTCGCAGCAAACAGGCTCGACTACGTCGTTCTTCTCCCATCTATATTAGTTTGGACGAGGAAGAGTCAGGGCGACCTCGTAACTTGGCCTCTGAGCGCAACTCGGCTGGACGCACTGACGATCCAGATATAGAAACGGACTCAGACGGTGATAGTTCTGAAAGTTTAGATCAAGCTAGTCTTCCGGCTCAGACTGCCGCCGGCAGGCGGGTGAACCAACAGACGCGGACTGTAGGCAAAAAGATGGATCCTGTCTCGTCCATTGCTGTTGCCGCCTCGGAAACTGCTTCAGGCCAATCGTCTAATTCAAAGAATGCACAGACCGTTAAGGCGACAGCAGGCATCGGTACCTCCTCGATTGTCCAATCTTCCGCCAAGCGATCACTTGGAAGCCTAAGCGGCGCCAGTTCTACTGCTTCCGTTACTTCTCCACTCGGCGACAAAAAGACTGCTGGCAGTGATCGTCGGAAGACGGGACCTGCTTTGGCAGCAGCTGGGACTCAGCCTAAACGAAGTCAGCAGAAAGAAAGCGGCGAACAGTTTAGTGACGACGATGTCATTATATTGGGCCGAGAGACGGGAAGACGTACCGCCTTTCAGGCCTCTCGCCTGCGCAAATTTGGCTCTGACTCTGAAGAAGAGGCTGCAATGCCTGGCCGCAAAGCTGAAAGCAGCATCCCGGCAACTGATGCCGCCGAGCCGGATGAAGCAGAAGCCGGTCGTCAGGACGATGAGGCCGTGGAAGGTAAAGCCAACCGGAGGCTGAAGCACCAACTGCGCCAGGGTCGGCAAAGACGGCAGACCAAATCCGGACAAGACGGAGCAGGCCAATCGGTGGCTAAGCGAGAATCGGGACCTGGAGACTTGCGAAAGCCGTCGGGCTCGAAGCGTTTCAAGTCGGCACAAAATATCTCGATTACGCTTAACTCCAGCTTCTCTTCAACCTCAAGTTCAGAATCTGATGCCGGCGATGCTACTTTCACGCATCCAAACAGTTCCACCCGGTCATCCCGATCGTCTTCGGGCACAAATAATTCAGTCCAGTCGAAGCCTCGCCGTAAGGCGACAAATATAAAGAGGCCAATAATACTGGTCTCTGATGATGACAATGAAGATGAGGATGCCGAAGATGGAGATGTCGAGGCTGAGGAAGACGGTGCCTTCGAGGCGGCGAGTGGAACGATTCAAGAGAAGAAATCCACCTCTTTGCGTGGTCGTCAGCCGCTTGGACGCAGTGAAGCAAACAAATCGAGTAGAGACGACGATTCGAGTAGGAAAGTCCAATATTCGCGTGGGGAAAAGGAGGCCGGCGAGGCGTGTGCAGAAGAGGACGAAGAGGAGACCGGATCAGAAGAGCTAATTAGCCGACCACGACCCTCTAAGCGCCGAAAGACTGCCGCCAAGCGCTATATAATCGATTGATGCGGTTACTCCAGTCGTCATCTTCAATTTACCTTCAAATTGCACCTATTCTACTTGGTCCCTTGTAAATGCTGCCCCAATTATTCATATATCTCTTGTACATTATCTCCCTCGGCATTCTTCGCATCTTTCATCAGTTTTTTTGTCGCTATTTTTCCATTTGCGCGCCTCCCCTGGCGCATATTGCTTTCCTTCATTCCTAAAGATCCATGGAATTCCCAGATCATTTGCTCCTTTTCTTTTCTTTTCTTTTCTTTTCTTTCCTTCTTTATGCCTGCTAACTGGTACTATTTATTCTTTCTTCTCTAACCAGTACAGGCCTTATCAGTTCTGCTTTGCCGGCTACGAGGGCCCCATCTTTTTGCGCAATATATCGTGACAAACCGGTTGTCAATTGAACTCATCCTTCTAGGACCGTTTGTTGTGTCTGTTTATCATCTCTCACCTGTTGGTGACTCCCTCTCCTTGTATAAATGCTGATTTCGCCCTCCTATGTCTATCGACTTGCCCCCTCCACTCCTATGCACAAACCTCTTTGAAGCACTGCTCTTATCCAGGCTTGACTCTGATCTTCTTAATGACCTGATCACTGCCCGCGCAATTATCGAAATGCACACATGTAGACATATACATACCTTTTTTATTTTACGATCTTTTCTGTCGGAATTGCTAAAACTCCTGTTCACTTCGTGCCTACACACAAATCTTATATTATAATCAATTGTGTGTGTGCCCTACTTCCTGGAGCTCGTTGCGTTTTTGCGCACAGGTGTACATATGTGCATACGTTTTTGGGTGTATGCATTTATGTTTTTATCGTATATACTACCTCCTCCGTGTAGAAAATACCTGTACACAAACAAAATTACCTTGTCTTTGAGAAGATTATGAATAAAAATATCCTCACAAATTGCCTTTTCCTTTATACGTAATTTTCTAAATATTTACGCAGACTACTTTTTTTCTCTTGAGTAATATCGTTTACATCATTTTAGTGTTTAGGAATATGTGAGGATTTGTCTACTGTACCTAGACGAAATCAATCTTTTACTTTAGACTATCCGCTTACTGTGAATGCATATTCCTGATCTATAGTTTCTTTGAATTAGAAAAAAACGTTTAGTTTGTGCCAACGAATCATTTCGATTCCCTGAATGCTTCTCCTTGATACTCTCGAATGGGAATTTTATTGGTAAGCTGCTTGTTTGACTCATCTTCAGCTCATAAGTAGGTCTTCGAGACTACCACCAAATCTAATAAAAGAGCTATATTGGCCCTTTCTCGTTTTGAGTCATACTCATATCATTGTGGGAAAGTTTAACTACCATTCTTTCGTCACCTTTAACAAAATATAGTGGATACAGCTCCTATGCATACTTGACTTCTCATCGACTTGGTTTCTTGCTCCAATCTTCTTGCATCTTTGATGGAGCTTGCACTTAAGAGTGAACTACTTGACTTCTCATTTGTTGCTCTGCTCGTTTCTGCCCCGGACTGCAAGTTATGCTTTTAACCGCTTGACGCATATGAAAAGAGCTCGCGTCCTGTTACGGCTGTTGTCAAGACGCTGAGGTGAGCTGGAAACTATGGTCCAGTTCGAATGAGGATTTTTCTATACCGATGCTTGAGATGCCACTCATTTTTGTACAGACAATTCATCGGTTACCTCTAGTAGGTTGTGATATATTTTAGTGTGGCATTAAAAATCTGGCCGTGTTAGAGACAGGAAATGATCATAGATACTATGGAATCCGGACAAGATGCGTTCATCTTGGTCCCCCTGACGT